TGAGTGTTCCTTACCTTATGTTTTAACCGTTGTTGGGGGAAAGTGGGTGGTCTTGACATCAGTAAAATACACTTAGTTTAACTGCTGTATCTTAAGATACTTCTTAATCTGTTCTCCTCTGAAGGGTACTTTGATACACCTAAGAGACAGTGGAAATTTTTATTTCAGAAGAAATTAAAATCTAACCTCTTGAAGTTTTCATTTTGGAATAGTGTATTAAACCAGTTTATGACCTGGGTGGTCAGAACAGCAATGTTTGAAAAGAAAGATATGTTTCCAGTCTGCTGCAACAAGATAACTAAATTGTGCAGGCAGGTCAGGGACAGACAAGCTGCTCTTTTGGAAGGTAAATGAAATTCGTGCTGCTATGTGAGATGCACTGGTTTTACTTGCAGCTTAGCTGTCTTCTGCCAGAAACAAGTGTACTTGTAAGGCATCGGTAAGCATTCCCATTGATATTATAAGTGATACTTCGTGTGATGTTAAATATGGAATGGTTAAGAGGTGTGTGGCTTGCTCCTTTCTTCCCCTGCTACCCTTTGAATTGTCTCATTTTGTCTCTTTAGTTTGTTTCTGATCAAACAAGATGATCTTTGTGTTATGCATGTTTCTGTCTCAGCAGGACTAAAACTGGTAGAAGAAAAGCCTTTCATGACAAGTTTTGACTGTGCTCTGCCTCTCTGTAAAAATAGCATCACTAAAATACTTCTGAAGGGAGTTTTTAAGTATGATACTTTGAAGAAACTTGAGAGGGTTTGGAATCAAAAGACCCTGGAGATTCAGCCAACCCACAGGACAAAAACCCCCAAACCAACCCAAAAACGAGCAGTCTCTCCCAGTTCAAGTTGCTCATGGAGTGAGGCAGTAACATTCAATGAATAGAATGGTACCAGGCTTAGATATTTGAAGAGGCATTTTACTTCAGGTCAGAGACAGTATTGCTGTCCCAGACCTAGAGATACCATTTGGAGCATTCTCTTTTTGTTAGTGCATGGTTAGAAGAAGAGAACATGTAAGAGACTGTTGGGCAGCCCAGTCATGGGCAAGTTCAGAGCAACCGTAAATTCAGTCTCTGAGATTTTATCTCAGTGAAGGAATAGTTAAGTGGTGCAATCCTGTACATTGCAGTCTTCAAGCTGTAACAGCCCTGCTGACCCATCATGTGTTGTGGTGTGACCTTTGTATTTGGGCTTATGCAGGATAGTGCTGACTATACAGTTCTTTATGCCAGCAGTATTTCCCATGGGAATGGACGTTGTTATTTATGGTCTTGTAATTATGAAGTATATTAGCAGAATGTCTGACTTCCTCTTTCATCTGGATCCTCAATGTTAAAGTGGACTTTAGTTTGCACGTTGACCAGTGTTAGGAGTTTCTTTGAGATTTGTTGCCTGATAACAATTGTAAAACCTTCTGGTCCTGTGCTGGTGGAACAGACTCACACAGCCTGACTCACAGTATCATCCCTGCCTAGGACTTGGTACCGGTACGTTTCCTTGAGGCCATATGTGAGTTTGTACACTCACTTGCATTAGCCTATAGTCTTTTACAGGCTGAAGAGTCTTAATGTGCTAAATCCATATACGGAAGATGTTCTCTACTTATTGATCATTCTTGTTGACCTCTATAACCCTTTCCCTTTTCCAGAGCCTTGGGTGATACGGTTTAGTGTGAGGTTTCCGTGCCCATGGCAGGGGGGATGGAACTGGATAATCTTAAGGTCCTTTCCAACCCTAACTATTCTATGATCCTGTAACTGTGCCCAGAATTCAGCCTGTCAGACAGTGAATATCTTGCAGCTTATTTTTCCCTCTGGAAATACTGTCTGTACATTTTGGATTTCTGGTTAATTCTTCTGTCCTTTTCATTTTTAATGTGAAAACGTAACAGGTAACAGATCTGACTGAGTAAGGAGGGACACTGAAATTGTTTCTTAGTGTTTCTTCTAAATTGCAAGTTCCATTATTCTGCCTTGAGCAGGGAAAAGCTACTTCAGTGTGTTTTAAAATACATGTTGTCCTGTTTACATTAGAACTCTGCAGTGTGCCCATGAAGGAGGCTCATATCTGCTAGCCTGGGTGTGTAAAACCTTGAGAGTTCTGGCAGGAAAACAGAAGCTGGGAACTATTCACAGCCATACTGCTAATTTAATATGACATTGTTTGGTTTATATAACTGTTTCCTCCTGCAGGGCAAAGGATTTTATTTCCAGTATGAGTGAAATGTAATATGATTATGTGACCGTTTGTGTTGGAGCTTGTGAGCTTGTCTGCTGTGAACTAGATATTTTAGGACTTTTTCGTTACTCTGAGCTGAATGATGACCCTTTTTATAATGGCTGAATCAGTGATACAGTCCTTTGAAAATCAGATACAAGGGTGTCTTGTAAAATATCCTGTTTAAGAGGCTGAGGTTTATTTATCACAGAAAGTATATGCATATTTAGAGAGAAAGTTCTTGATAAAACACTGCTAAAGCTGAAACATACAAAAATCTCTTCCATTATCCTGAAGTTTTAACATAAACGTTCTGGTTACAATTTCTCTGCCATCATAAAAAGTGGAAGTCAGGCTTATTTTCTGAAAGATCCCTCATAACAGAGGGACTTGATTGCATAAAACATTAAATATTTGTTTTCCCCTCATCAGTCCTGAAACTGTGTTTCTTGCAGTAGAATTGACATAGAAATACACAGCTGTGAGTCTGGTCCTCTTCTTTGCCTGTCTCCATGGTAGTGAAGAATTGGCATGTCAGTCGCAACAATACCATCCTTTTTTAATACTAGCTATTTTTTAAGCTCAGTGCTGAGATTCAGACAGTATACAGACTTGTGTTGTAGTTTTTGCTCCATCATGTGGTACTTGAAGCAATTTTCATTGTGTCAGAAAAACAACTGGTGTCATTAAGTCACATTTCTGGTTTGATTATTTTATGCATATAGAGAAAAAGGTTGATCAGAAATGAAAAAAAAAATCATGCTGGGAGAGCAGAAGGTATGAATTGTGCTTCAGAAGAAACAGGTTTCTGAATTTAAGGTACTCCTGGAATAATTTTAATTTAAAGCTCTGCATGAACTAGTGAGACTCTAGATACTGCATCTTCTTTTGCTAACATACAACATGTGTTAAAAAGTTACACTAATGCATATAAGTAGCATGGGAAAAAGTAGTGAAAGACCTGTAGAAGATATTTATGATGCCCAAAGAAGGAAAAATATAGTCCACAATTCAAGGAACTTTAGTTGGTAAACAAAGTTTACTGCAAAATATGCAGTGATGGAATAGTGAAGCATAGTGTGTGTTAGACACTTTTCCTAGAAGCCATACATGTATAAACATATTTGCAAGGTGACGTGTAGACCACTCGGAAGAATTTTCTAGTATAAAAGTTTAGCACAAAAAAGCAATCCATTAGTAGCTTGTGTTTGTTTTCTTTCTCTTTAACCTGCTCTGATGAGTTAAAATTGCTTGCCTTTTAAATTCCAGACTTATGAAAAACTCTGGATTCTAACAATATTCACTAAGGAAATGTCTTGAGGGGTACATTCAGTCAATATTCATTGCTGCCTCTTTCCTGCTGTGCTTTTATTAGAGTTCTATATGACTCAGGAAAAACAATTTGTGTGTGTGTGTGTGTATTCTAAACTGTTATTGAGCCTCCTTGAATTAAACATACAAGTAAGTGTATCAGAGAAATAAATGGTTGTATATTAACAGCTTGCATTGAAAATAAGATATTTTGAATGTGTGTGTGTATTTGTATGGTAGAGGCAGCAATCCCCTTTTATACACAAGGGCTCAGTGATATGATCCAGACTTCAACGTTTCTACTGTTGCTGCAGCAAGTACATGATCTGGGAGTAATTAATTTGAATATACATCAGAAGCTTCTTCCCAGCCTTGCAGCACTTCAAACAAACATGTTTGGTGAATTGTTTAATCTGGCTTGTCCATAAAGCACACTTTCTCCAAATGCTGTCACTTGAACTGATTTAAAGATCACTACAAATCTGTTTTGTAGGTTGGCAGTGAAATCTATTGTGAATTTACTTTAGCAACAGCAGTAAAAAGTGTGATTCATTTATTTCTTATAAAATAAATGCTTATCAGACAGTAGGCCAAAGTCTCTTCTTTGCAGTAGTGGGCAGTATAAAAGGTATGAGTTTTATCACTGAGCACTTAGGTAGTAATCTCTTCATATCTAGAGTAAAGCTTGCTGATAAGAAGTTTTTCAAGTTGCTGTGAGAGGTTTTGTAGAGCAATATCAAAAGATTATGGTTATCTAAATTTAGGTGGGGCATTGCTGCGAATCAACCATACTTTATCACATGAAAATTGAAATCAAGTCCTATTTGTGGAAGTAGTATGGCTTGTAAAATAAACATGCTGATCCAGTTGTACTCTGTTATTTTTGGTCTTGTGAAGCAGCTAATAATTGGTGAAAGTTTTTTGGTACTTTAACATACTGTATTGAGTATGGAAGTGAACATATTTAAAGATGACTACTAAGCTTATAGAGCAGATAATGAAGTAGCCTTATTTCGGGAAGCATGAAGAGGCTTCTATACGCAGCCATCTAGCATGAAGTCTTCAAGAGCTGGGTCCTGTGCTGCTGAGGGGTAGTAATGTCATTGTAAATGCTTGGTCTTTAGGACAGCAAGGACATTATGATACAGGTCTAAGGGAGCTGCTGTAGTAAGATGATTGGTAATACAGTAAACTGCTTTGTAAGAGATCTTCTGTAATGACATCAAGCAGGCTAGAATTTCACTTGTTTCTTAGGCACTGGCAGAAGTAAAATCCTAGATGCTACTCGTACTGCTTGAATCCTTTTACATGTAGATAATGTGAAACCTTTTAATTTGTTGAAGAGTTAGAGTCTTCTAGCTCTTCTGTTACATAGATCTGCTTAGAAATGATTTGTGACCTACAGAACTGGGAAGGAAAGATATAAAAAATTGAGTCTATGTCATTAATTTAAATTTGTTTCTACCATTTCAGATTTTTCTTCTTGCCTGTCCCCCATGCCGGGTTGCAATGATTCTCTTCAGGTAATGCCTCTTCCTTACTAAATTTCTATCTACTTGCATAATGTATTTTAGAAGTTAATCACTGTTTAAGTCATAAAATATTAAGATACATATCTGGTTGGAAAGGCATATTGGTTGGAATGAATAATGACACCTTGAAAAGGGTCAGGGCTTAAATCATGGGTGTTGAGCCCCACATACCCTGAGTTCTTTTGTACTGTGGTTTTGGCCTTGCTTAGCAATATGGATTAGCTCAGTGACAGGTAAGAATGCAGGCATCTTTCTACAGATTTCTAGACAAACCTATGAGTTTGTGTAATTTATGTCATAGGCCTTGTACCTCTGTATTTTCCTCACTAAAAATTAATAACTGGAGAAGGCCATGCATACAGGAAGGATCTAGTTTTAAAACTGTGGATTTAAGTTAAATAATGAAAGCACATTCTTGATGACTTGGCTCTTCCTCAAATCTACGCAATCTTTCCTAAAATATTGCATATTGTTACTAACTTCAGGAACCACATTCCTAATGTGCAGGAAGCTCTAATGGGCTACCACTGTAGAGTTCAGTAAGCAGCTGAGGAGTGTAACTGGTCATATAGTGGGGAGACACACAGGATGGCTGTAGTTGCCACCGTGACAGCTCTTTCTTGTCTTAGTCTAGGCAGTAACTGGAAAAATAATGCTGGGGATATGCCTCATGAATTATTTTGGAACTGCTGCTGTGTCTCTGCAACTTTTTCCTGCTGTTCCCCATTTGGGCACGGAGTAGGCTGAATCCAGAGATCCTGTGTTAGTGTCTCCATCTTGGAGAGGGTGAAAAGTACATCTGCTATCCAGGGAATCCTGGAATTACTGTAAGGATTTGCAAAAGACCAGTTGCAGAGCAGAGGCCTAAATATTTGTTAGTTTTCAGAATGAGCTTTTTCTGTTTTCTAACACCCTGACATCATGTAAATTAGATTTGGAAAAAATGTTTTGAAATTGTAATACCTTTTCCCCCCCTGAAGTTACTTTTAAATTCCTAAGAGTTTATGACAGGCAGTGGTTGTAAACAGTTTATTCTTTACTTTGTGTCTTATGTAAAGTAGATTGAACTAGAACTGATACAATTTTTGTGTTCTTGTGATGCAACCATGGTTCAGAAGAAGATGGCTGGAAGCTATACAAAATACAGTATTATAATACTACTTTCCTGCCTTGTTCTTTGCTTAGAACTTGCTGTTAAGTTTTGACAAATGTAATTCTTCCTTTATCTAAGGGACTCTTTCCAAATTCCTGAAGAATTCAAGCTTACTTTGAAGCTGAACATTTAAAGAGTTAGACAGGAGTAAAAAACTTTATCAAACATGCTATCTTAAGCTCTGAAAGACAAATGAACAGCAAAATTCCAACTATTTAGCAGCTTCCGTCATGAACAGGGTTAACACAAATGGGCAGTCCAGGCTTTCTAGGAATCCAAAGCTCATTACAGAAAGCAGTCCTACTTCAGGAAATTATTTGTGTATTTGAGGAGAGGTTTTCATTCTGGTGGTTGTATTTAACAGTGCCTTAATTCAAATTCAAGCCAAAAGGTTTTTTAATGAATTTTCTTACATCTCTTGCTACCTTTCATTGAAGAGATACTACATAAAATATGTGAAGACATTGTGTTTCCGTCTGTGAGAATAACACCATTTCTCTTCTAAGGTTGCAGATGCATATGCTGAATGGGGCCCTCCTGGCATTGCTGTTTCCAGTTGTTAATACACGCCTGGTGAGTCTGCTGTACTTCTCCTCCTCCTTATTTATTTATTTATTTATTTATTTATTTATTTATTTATTTATTTATTATTTATTCCTAAAATATTTTCTCTGAACAGTTAGAAGTGTGTTTTATTTGCTCTTTTAAAATTCGTGTTACCAGGCTGTATATTCCTGGTACAGGTCACTACATTGGAGCCAGATACTGATCCAGTATCTTGGATTTGATCCAATACCACAAGCCAATATCTTGGACTTTTTCGTGTTGATAAATCAATGTGGAACGGTAACACTGCTGTATTCTAAGGATCAATTCCATCCTAGCCTTTAAATGGAGGGAAAACATCATGGCTTTGAAAGAGGCCTTTGTAGGTTAGCATTGTAGCCTGTGGTCAAAATTCAGTTTTAGGCTTTTCAGAGTATATGTAAATGTATGATTCCTCAGGCATGGAAAATGCCAAATGTTGTTGGTGGCTGTCACCTCAACTCCCCTAAGATTAGGCACAGCTGGTTTCTTTTTTCCCATGCAAGTTTTCAAATCTGCTATAAAACTCCCACCTCCTGGACAAAACCTCAACCTGTTGGTGTCTCTAGAAAGATTCTTATTACACTCAGAGTTAATGGTCAAAAAAGTTATCCTTAATCTGAGCTATATGAAATATTTCTAAGGATTGTCATTAAGAGCTGTTATGCATATATATTAGAGCTGTGTGTATGTATATATGATTATATGCCTATGAAACATTCATTTTTGTGTCAACTGACTTATTTGCAAGAATCTGTTGTAGTTATTTAAATGCCTGTTTTAATATAGATTTCACTTCTATTTATCTGCTTCTGTTTATATGGTGTCTGATTAAAGTACTCATATCTATATCCATATAGCATGTGGATTAATGATATTATGAACAAAATTGGTGTGGACTTTAGACTCCATTACAAATCTCATTAGTGGCTGTTTGCAAACCTTGACTGCCCTAATAAGATTACGTGTAAAATCTGCATCTGTGGTGAACTTCACGGGTGATGCACTGTGTTCATTGGTCACACTGGTAGCTAAGGAGACCTGAAACCTGACAGTTCTATTGTTGCCTTTTAGGTAGGCTTTTTTTTTTCTTCCCCTTTTTAAGACTATGAAATTTTGCACTGAGACACAGCTCAGTTGCTAGAGAGAGGATAATATGTCTGGAGGCTTTTACATGTGACAAATAATCTTCCATAAAGCGTGACACACGCTGCATAGGAGGATGGATCATTATTTTCAGATTTCAGTGGATTTAGTTGTATAATAACCCTAGAGTTCATTCAAGATTCACGTTGTCCTTCATAATTTGGTAACTATATGTATTTTTCAATTCTGTAGCAGCTTATGTGCAGTTTGCAATTATGTTTTAATAAAACTTGATACTGCTGAAGCAGCATCAGATGAATAAAACAAGTGTTTTTTTTTTTTCTGATAAGGATTACTTTCGTATTTCAAACTCTCTAGTTTTTAACTAAATCTAAATTTAGCATAAAAATGATTTTTCTGGGTAACCTTTTCAGGGTAAAATGTTGAAATATTTAATAAATCATTAGCCTCTATTTGCTCTGCCATTATTATGTGTCTCATTTGTATTAGGGCAGTGGTAATTAAACAGGAAAAAACGAGGCTACTTTTTAATTTCTCCTTAATTAGGCTTAGAGGAGCCAAAGGGTAATGTCCAAGAGCAAATATTTTTTGAATAAATACAACTTAGGATATATTTGGCCTGACAGCTGCTTGCTAGGCTGTTCTTTTCAGTGTTTCTTCTGGCACAAGATAATTTGGGTGATGTTTTATAGCACTGCTGCTTTGACCCAGATTCTCTATTGGTAGACACATTCTGCTCTGCAACTGTTACTGTAGTTTTTTTCACACTGATATAGTCCTGAAAGCAGTGAATGTTTCTTAAAGCTTAGCAGGGAGTCCAAAAAAGCAGTAACTTTGTCTGTGCTGTCTGCTTTGGTTTGTAGTATCCGAGTCTTGATTCTCTCAAGAATTGTTGTCTCAAACTTTTAAATCCAGTTTTAAGATACACATTTTAGTGTGTACATGTTTTATATAAAAATTTTGTATACTTAGTAATGTCTGTAAATTGATGTAATATATAGTGTATGGCATAAAAAGCATGAAGAATCAGACACCCCAACTATTAAATTAAGTGAGGAGTGATACGTTGTCTGGGGCAGAGAGAGTTACAAGGTCAGTGGGAACTGGAAAGCAGGAGGCTGCTGCCTCAAATGGGTCTATTGCGTAAGCACCAAAATGCTTCACTGTTACCTTCGATAGTGTACAGTGTATTTTATCTTTAGAAGTTATTTGATGTCTTGGTGGTGATAGTTTTCATTGTCTTCATCCGATATTCTCCTAAGGCTCTCTTCCATGTGGATTGCCTGAATTATCTCACAGGCAGCAGATGATCACTGTTGAGCTGCAGTTTCTCTTTGGAGAAGCCTAATAATTTAGGAAGTTCAGCAAGTTCAGCTGGCATTTACACATTAGCTAGTAAACTGTGTGCCATGATGGAGGTGAAAGCAGTGAGATGCACAAGGAAATGTGCTGTTTTATTTGTGCATATCAGTAATCTGGAAGGGACAAAAGACAGAAGATACAGAATGAAAAATAATCATTAATTCACCAGCAAATGGCTGTCAGGATCTTGGTTCTAAGTGTTAAACTAGTTGGAGTAATTTCCCGAACACCTCTTACAACATCTTGTGGCACAGTCTGTTAGGGTCATGTGTTTTTGCCACCAATCACTTTACTTAATGCATTGTAAGTATTACTTTATATATATAAGTCAATGTTAGATTATCCTGAAAAAATAAATATCTGGTAGCTGGTAGCATAACTCTTCATTTTCTTGTATCTGTTGAAAGTTTTTAGAACCTGAGTCATTTCAAAACTATTCCTAAATATTAGTCAGTTGCCAGTGGAGAGTTGAGATATTCATTGAGACTACAGTAGGTTTCTACCTTCTGTTGTTTTAACCTTTCAGTGACATTATACCCCTTAAAAACCTTGTTGGGCTGTAATGGGCACGTGGGGTAGTATTCAAAGAAAAATGTAGCCTGAAAGATGAGGTCAGTCTATCCCCTTCTTTGCAAGGAAATATTTTCCTGCCTTGGCATGATGTTGGAGTACCAGCAATTCACAGCCTTGAGCAACAGATGCACCCACTTGTGTTTAATTGGCAAGTAAATATTCCAGTTATTTGCTGCATTACTTACCATGTGCTGATGATGTTAAACTTTGTACATCGGAATAGTCACTGGGTAAAGACAAAACAGTTTGTTTCTTAGGTGATGTTTTTCTTTCAGCAAAAAAAGTGTATTTTAATTTTTACTCACAATTTCATTCCTTTCTCGTGATGTAAATCATTCTTGTCAGCACTAGTAGTTCACATGGAAAATCGAGTAATCTTTTATGACCCTTAAGTAAATAGAGAACATGATGTTAAGGGAACTGGATTGCTAGGTTCCCAAGTAGGAGCCAAGAAAGGTATAAGAGGATATACAAGGGTGGAAAGATCTCTTCCTACTCTGTATTTATATTATATAGAATATGATATAGGTCCTGATAAACTTACTATGCAAATAAATTTATTTAACTGCCACAATGACTCCAAATGTTGTAGAATAATTGATTTTGTTAACTTTCATACTGTGTTAATTTTTAAGGGGAACTCTTTCTGCTAGTTTAAAAGTAGGGTTTTTTTTGCAAGCTGATGTCCTGAAAATGTTGATATAGATGAAGTAAAAAAACAGGACATGTCCCAGAGGCGTTGGGCTTTGCTCACACAGCTGCAATGGTGCAGTTTTAATATTTCCAGAAGCTGCCATATTCTATTATTAGAATTATTTGGCTTGAGAGATATGCATTCTAAATCTGGTTTAGGAACAAATCATACTCTGAGCAGTACTTCCAATGCACTCTGTGTAGTGCCCGTGATCATTGCCTACTGTATTGCAGTTGCCTGTTAAGATAGGTAGTTAAGGTACAAGTAATTCACTGTACTGAATAGTTTGTCTGAAATGCTTGTGCCTACACAGCAACATGGAATAGGTTGTGGTAGCACAGTATGTGACATCAACACTGGCTTCATCTAACTGGTACAAGGAAATAACAAACAGTTGCACATTGGCAGATGTTGAGAGATTGTGCTTTGGTTGCTGGTAGGTGCTCAAGTCAGGGAGGGTTTCTGCAGCTTTAGGCAGCATCTGTGCTGTGTGCATTAAATGGTATGGGTGTGGAAGTGGAGACTAGACTCACACATTTGATAACTGTAAATCTACTTTCTGCTGGTGGTCATAAGTAGTCCTAATATTCTCTCTAGAGGAACTGGGAAAATACTATTTCTGAAATTATTATCTACCTCTTTTGGTCTTGACCTTACAAATGCTTTATTGTGTCCATTGTGTCATTAATGTGAGCTAGTTTGCATAATGAAACTGAGCAACTAGAAGACAGTAGTGCCATTTTATGATACAATAAACATCAAATATAGTGCTAGTCAAATACTCAGAACACTGATAAAAGTCAGAACAAATGCATTTAGTTGAAAGTGCACTGAACAAAGACTTTTCCTGATTTTTCTCAATGAGCATCATCCTCTGTAGTGACAGGCCTCATGTCCTGGTTTAACCCCAGCTGAAGCTCAGCACCACACAGCTGCTCGCTTCCCACAGTGGGATGAGGGAGAGAAGTGGAAGGGTAAACGTGACAAAACTCATGGGCTGATAAGATAAAGACAGTTTAATAGGTAAAGCAAAAGCTGTGCATTCACAGGCACAGTAAAAACAAGGGATTAATTCACTGCTTCCCATCTCCAGGAAACAGGGCTCCATCACACCTAATGGTGACTTGGGAAGACCACTGCCATCACTCTGAACATACCCCTCTTCTTCTTCCCCCAGCTTTATATGCTGAGCATGATGCCATTGGAATATCCCTTTGGTGAGCTGGGGCTAGCTGTCCTGGCTCTGTCCCTTCCCATCTCCTTGTGCAACCTCAACCTCCTTGCTGGGGTAAGGAGCAGAAAAGGCCTTGACTGTGTGTAAGTGCTGCTCAGCAGTAACTGAAACATCCCTGTGTTATCAGCACTGTTTTCAGCACAGATCCAAACCATTGCCCCATACCAGCTACTGTGAAGGAAATTATCCCAGCCAAAACTAGCACATAAAGAAAAAACTCTCAGAACTTGTAATAATTTGGGTTGGAATCCTGGGGCCTTTAATATGCTCAACAGACAGTTTAGATTACAAGTCTTGCTAACAAATATTTAGTCATTCTGAAGCTCTCTGGGTCGGGTTGAAGAACAGAATCACAAACATCACTGGTTGGTTACAGGGGGAATACTGCTTTTTGGAGAGGCTGCTGGGTTTCTACAGGGGCACCTGACAGGAGAGGACAAGCCAAGCCTCTTGGGGCCTGTGAAGAGGGTCTGCTTTGGAGATTGTTGGAGTCTGGACTTATATACATGTGGCCTTCATTGGTGCCTATGGTCAATATTGGTAGAGGGACTTACTTTGTTCTGTAAGTGTTGCTTTGAGTTTTTAATTTCTCAGACTTCACCACTTGCTGAAGTGCTTGTTTTCACAAAGAGGTTCATTAAATCCTAGACTGCTGTGGGTGACCCCTTCTACTTTGTCCCTACTTGCAGTTTCTCTTTGCATATCTGCTATCTGTGTGTCCCTTATGGCTAAGACAATTTATAGCTAAAACCTTTAGAGCCGGGTGAGTTGGTTGCACTGAACAACTTATAGTTCACCTTTTGTGTTTGTTCTTTTTGTGTGTGTTGTAGCCTGGCTGTACAACTTGGATGCTTGGTTGTACAGAAATTCTGCCTTTGTAGCTCTATACCAGCAAGTGAACTTGCTGGTTGGTCAGGCTTCAGAACAAGCAATCTTTTATAGTGAAAAAAGATGTTTTGTTTTATAGAAAAAAAAATATTGTCAACACTACTGCAGGAAAACAACTGCTACTCTGTTCTCAGAAGTGTCCTGAGCATAGTGTTTGTGTAACTGGTGCTCACAACTCAGCAAGTGTAGAAGCCCTTATGAAACCATAGATAAATAGAGAATGCTCCTTGGCAGGAGTGGGTGCCTCACGTTGTGCTGTTTATATCGGGAGCTATTGTTTCTGAAGTGTGTCACTTCCCACTGGAAGAAATACAGCTCTTTCTCCAGTTAGGAAAACTGCCTGCTTTAGTCTCTTCCCAGATAATTTGGATTCCCTCACTTTGCTCTCTGTGTCTTTCAGCAAGGGACAGAAGAAAAGATTCAGATTCAGGAAACCTCACAGCTTCTGTGAAGTTCTTGCTTTTGCATACTATTGTCTTGCTTGGTTTTATGTTTTGATACAGAGTTCTTGGAATAAAATAACCCAACAGATTGTATGATAGTTGTGAGGGGGTTCGTGTTGGTCTTTTTTTTTTTCTTTTCTTTTTTTTTTGCCTTAGTCTCCCAGGAGCTGGCTGAACATCTTGGAGGTTGTAATCAGGACACTGATACTGTGCAGCTGGGGATGCCAGGACTAGCTGAATCCAGCTGCTGGGTTTAGCATCTTTGGCATTCAAAATAAGATATAAGAATTATTGTTGAATTTCAAAGATCACTGTATTAATTACCAGCAGTTTATTAACTACTGTTATTGGTAGGACTTGTGTCTGGATTCTCTGTGGAATGATAGAATAAGGCTGTGTTTGAACCAAAACTCAGGGCTTTGTGTGAGAATTTCATACATGTGAGATGTGAGATTTCATACATGTGTGGTGGTATTTTCCAGTTTTCACTTCTGAAAAAGAATGGCAAAGTCTTTTCAGGTCTGTAAGTGAGCTGCAGCAAGAAGCTGAATTCTGGATTTTGAGTTGGGATCTTTTCTACTACTCTTCAATTTCAAATGTGTTGCTTTAGTTTAACAAATAGATACAGGCAAAGGCACTTACAGATGGGAATAACTTTCAAATATGGCACATCACATTTTCTAACTGATAAAAACTAGAATTAGTTTGGTCTGGATTAAAGGGTTCAAATTAAACACTGAGTTGTGGGTCAGGTTATTTTTAGCACAGTCTGTCTGACTTCTCTGAGAGGTAACATGAATTCAACTAACACGTGGTCACCAATTCTGACTTCCCAAAAGTTGTCAGCCTGTGAGAAATATCTGATTTAATACGAACTGGTAACTTGTTTATATGTATCTTTCTGCAGCTTCTCTTTAAAACCAATAAAGTACTGATTATTTTATATTTTGTGGAGCTTATAAGTTTCACACATATATACAGATTGCTATAAATCAGGTCTTTTGATTTTTGCACAGATCTCCTCAGCAATTACTTATGTATATATTTATTTATATACTTTTATATATAAAGGACCTCATTTATAGAATGCTATAAATAGAATTTTACCACTCAGAAGACAGCAATTATCTTTTTCTTTCTAAATAGACTACTATCATATGGGGTGTATACAGTTCCTGGTTTGATTATTGAGGGTTTTGCATTGTTAATGGTAATTTATAGTTAAGAAAGGGAAAAGAGCAATTTTATTTTATTCCTTCTTTGCTGTGCTTCTAGCTAATTTTTAGAGTTGTCTGCTTGAAGTGCTGCATTTGTGTCAAGGGGAATGGAATGGGTACACTTAGCTGCACTTTCAAAGCACTGGCAATGAATGTCATCTCTTTGTTAATATACATAGGTGATGCAATAACCGAAGAGTTTTTTGTGGGTCATGAGGAGAATGGTTCCTTGAAACTCAGGTGTCAGTGATGAAAAACATTTACAAATATTTTCCTTATTCCACAGCTTCCATTTGAAATGGAAATTTATTACATCCAGCATGTGATGCTTTATGTTGTGCCCATCTATCTGCTGCGGAAAGGAGGTAGGTTGGCAATTTACTCTATACATATTGAATTGGTCCCGTACACTGAAAAAACTGTGCTGAATGGTTACCTCAGGCTTTACTCTTACTCATATTTCACCAATTTTCTCTGTGTTGTTAAGTAATAGTTTCCCATTTTAAGCTGGAGTTGCAACTGAGGTATCAAAGACTTTTGTCATGCAGTGAAAGGAGAATTTAAAAAGGTCTTTTGCCCAAAGGGTATTAAGAATGTGTTGGCATAATGTGCACTCTCTTCCTGAGTAGCATCTCTGCCATCTTGCAACACTCTTAAGTTGTTGTTGGAGTGTATTTTTAAGACTTTTGCCTTCTTAGATGCATCTTGAAGTACTGTGACTTCAAATGAGCTGAAAAAAGGTGTTATTATATTCCCATGTAAATATTAGTTGGCTAGTGAGAGAAACTCCTGGCTTTCTGAAGCTCTAATGAAATGTAGGGACACATATTAATGAAATGAACTAGCTTGCTTCTTATATCTTCTGATAAGTTTACTGTCACTTATACCATAGTAGTTCAGAAAGTCTGGGAATCCCGAACTGTTCTGCTGGCAAATGATTTTTCCGATTGTGGAAAAGGGAACGCAGGATGTGTTGATCTGGTGTGATGCTCTGCTCCCCTCTAGCGTTGACATGCCTCCAGCTGCATTTTCCAGCAGAGCTAAGTTGTTTCATCCAGGAAATAAAAGATGGTAATTTGTGGTCCGTATGTTCAGTGGACTTTAATGAAAACCCCAGGACTGTGATATCAAAGAAATGGGATACAGGTTAGCAAATGCTCAGGACAAGCAGAGTCAGTCTCTTCCATTATGGTGAATCTGCTCTATTTTACAGCAGCAGTTACAGTGCTTCATACTTCCTGCACTATAGGTTTGTAACCTTTTTGTTTTTCACTGCTGAGAGAAACCGAATAAAAATTATCCAAAGGAAAATGTGAAGTGTAATACTTCAAAAGATTCCGTTTCTTCCTCTTACCAGAGTAATATGCCACGCAAATTTAATTTTAATATGTCTTTGAGATCTTAACATTCTGGCAAATAATGCAGAAGTGCAGTATAGCTGTTCAAGTTACACAAACTTGGTAGAGAGAGGGGAAAGGTGTAAAGAGCCTTGTAATACACTGTAGGTAATGACAAACCACGCTCTTGTGATGTTGCTAAATTACTTCTTTTGATGGTCTCAAACTTCCTATATAACATCATTTTAAGGCATGTTTGGTTTGGGGGCGGGGGGGTTATTGCTGTAAGGTTTGGCCTTGGATGTCACTTGAAGTATTCCTCTGACCTTTGTTTTAGTTTCTTGTTGGTTTAGTTTCTTGTTAGTTTTGAGGTAAAGGTTCTCTGGGTTCCTGGGTGCCTGTTTCCTGGGGCTGATAGGGCTATATCTGCATTTGGAGGGCTTTGTGTTGCACAGTTATCCCCTAGCTTAGTTTCCTACATTTTTGCCCTTTATTAATTTACAGGTATTTGCTGCCATCTAATGTTGACCTGGTAGCAGTGACATTTCTAGAACTTCAGCATCGGTTGAGACTGCCTTAGGCTGTGACTAATAGCAGTTCCATTGCTTATGCAGTTGGCTCTCATCACCTGACTGACTGTAATACCTCCTTAGCAAAGCACCCGTGGACTTTTGTAGGAGTTATGGCTAGTGAAATAGGAAGACCTAGTGTATGGAAAAAATTACTCAGCTTAAGAACATTTGTTACTATGTTGTCATTTCACTAGCACCTTTGTTTAAAGTACTTTCTGAGTAGCTCATACCCTATATTCTAATTATATGTTGTGAAAATTGCTTTTTCATCACCGATGTTGATTGGCATGCAGCTTTATTTCTGGATTTAAGATAGAAATTTCTATCACTGAATCTATGGATTATGACTGGGAGAAGTAATTGAAGGGTAGTAAAATTGAAAACATTAGAATGAATGGATTGCATATGGACGTATATACTAAACCAGTTTTACTGGGAATCTGTCAGTTACTGATGGCCTTAGTAGAATCACAGAATCCCAAGGGAAGCTCAAACTTTTCTCAAAGGCAGGTTGAGCAGAACACCTGAAGCAGAGCTGCGTGTGCAAGTTTGTTGATATGCTACTCAAGCATCATACCAGTCATGCACACACATCCAATTACCTGTTGAGGGGGTTCCTTTTGAAAGGAAACTGGGTGAGAGTAAGCAAGGGCTGTAATCATTCATTTGCTTCCTCTTCCTGCTGTTCATTACAGTGGTGAAGACTGCTCATGTTACACTGGAAATGTCATCTTTATGTCCCCCCCATGTAGGTGCAGGGGCTTTACCACACTCAGGATCAAATTGATGAGAGAGATGTTCAGAACTCAGGCTGCTGTGTTGCAGTGAACTCACTGAAGCTCAAGGATGTATTCCCTCTTAGGGATTAAGACGTTTTTCTCTCTTCCTCTTCCCTCACCTTCCCCTCTGTACTGAGTGAATACAGACTCCTGTATTTTCCTTTCTAACATATTTTCCTTCCAAGTGTACAAATGCATATGCACTCCAGGCTAGACAAATAAATGCTTATACACTATGGCTCAGATCTTTCTTGGCTGCAGTGAAGCTGTTATGCAAAATAGATGTAGTGTAGACATAATAGGCCCGCATAGAAGATTCATAACTCAAGGCAGCTCTTACATCTGCAATTGGCAACTTCTTTGCTGAAGGAATCTCACCTTGTATCACCTGTGAACTCTACCAAAAATTACAGTATGTGCCTGGGCAGGACACAGCATTCCTGAAATAGCTGAATAGGCTATTTCTGTTTTCTTTTGTCCTTCGGAGGTGAGGCCTAGCTTCCCTGTCAAAACAGTATGAATGCCTTTGTCACTTCTGGATTGGTTTACTGTTGCATCAGATGACTGCTAGGATTGGCAGGAGGGAGGTGCAATGAGTGAGTTGTCAAGGTGCAAGGAAGAAGACAGGAACCACAGCAGGGAAAATCTATATCATGGCACCAACCCCTTCATTGAAAAACTCCTCAAACCACATTCATCTGCACCTAAACTGGTCTTCTGAGGCATATGAGTATGCTCTGATAGTTATACTTTATGGCCCTGGGATAAAGGCTTGAGATGACAGCTGAGCATGTGTAATGTCTCTTGTAACTGCCACAGATATTGCAACAGTGCACTGATCTGACCTTTTAAGATCAAGGCATTGATTTACCTTCACTGGTGTTCAGGGTAACTTAGTTGTTCTAACTGTATATCGTTAACATAATGAAAATGTCATTAAAATCTAGCCTGTACTGCATCAGCCTTAAAGACTAGCAGCTCTTGCCTGGCTTGGTCCTTAAGTGAGTTTGGTCAGATTTTCAGATGGGTTTGACAGGATTAGATATACACCTCATTTCAGAGCTTCAAATCGTATTGAAATTTGATCAAAGTGGAATTTCTATTTCCTGAGTGCTGTAAGCAAATGATACCATGCCACAACAGTCTGAAATAAGAGTTAATTTATAGCAGCTCCCTAGTACTGTGAGATCAAGAGAGAATCTTTCTCGTGTTTTGAGATTCTCAGCATTATTTAACTGAATTAATAACTTAATAAAGCAGAAAATGATGTTAGTGTTGAGGTGTTTTAGGATTTTGTTGCTTCAGGGAGCAATCTGATGTATGAACCTCTACCTGAAGTTCCTCTACCTGAAATTCCAGGGTATCGGGTATGTTTAATCGGAGGCCCTTGTGTTGGTGTCGGAATGGTTGTGTGGCTCTCGCACTTTAGCCTGCAGGGGGAGATAGTCTCCAGCACCCACTGTCGAGGTGGCTATGCAAATTCTCAGCAGTCACAATTCAAAGGCAGGTTGTCCAAACTGTGGAGATAGTAAAATTGATTTGGTTGTGTTTTTTTTTTTTTTGGGGGGGGGGGGGGAAGGTGGGGTGGGGTGGGGTGGTTAAAATCTTCTTTTGATGCCAAAACTGACAGCAATGGCATTGCAAATTCTGGGCAGTCCTATGGTCTGACCCCATGTATTTTAAAAGCTGAATGACTGTTGTGCAGCTGTGCATGAGCAGACAGACATATACACCCTAATTAATCAAGTAGGTGAGTTGTTTGCTGGGAGTACAGTTACAATTTTCAGCTTATAAGGCAGGTGCTATATCTTGATAACCAATAAAGAAACTGTCTCTCTGATTCCAAACATAAAGCCCTTTCCTTTTTTGATCCAAGTATCTTCAAAAATGGCATCAGAAGAGATGAAGTTCTATGGCAGTGTCAGAAAGTCAGAAGTTGATTATTTCTTTCCCCCCCTCATGGAGAATGTCTCTGTCATACTTCAGCAGATGGACAGGAGGGGCTTTCCAGCTTTCCTAAGGGCACTGCAGTGTTTCTCACCTATTGAGAAGCTGGGCTAAGTTGTAAGATGTAGAACACAGATACCAAGTACAGACGAAAGGATCACGTTTCCTGGGGCTGTAAGCTAGGAAAGTGCAAATTGAAGCATTTGAGGATCTAAACTTGTGCTTTCCATTGCCTTCCAGAACTCGCTGGCAAGGGGTGGGGGGCTTACCACATTTAAAGGTATTTCAAGGTGTTGTATTCTTTCTCAGCCACTTCCTCGCTTTTTGACAGTTGACTGTATTTAGCTGTATCTTTTCTTAGCTTTTAAATGGAGTTATAAAGCAGACTTTATTATATACCTTAGTAGTAATGCAGGAAAAAAAATCACTATGTACTTGGATATAGCTAGGACTTCAGTTTATCTCCATCCTCAGTGAAATACCTGATCATGTAAAGCTCTTTAACTGAAACTCCTGGAGACCTGTCAGCTCTTGTGTATTATTTTCCTACTCTTTTGCTGGCAGCTTCCATGTTATTATTTCCAGCTTTACCTCCTGAATCCCATGTATTAGATGTAAATGCCTGGTTCACTGCCCGGCTGTGCTTGCACTGTGGCACGTTGAGCAGCAGGGAAGCTGTTGTGCTCAGCAGCCGGAGGTGTGTGCTGTTGCTCTAACTGCAGGCTAATGCTGCAGTCTCTCTTCTAGCTTGATCATTTCAGGATAATCTTGTTTGATGATTTAAGAGAGCTGGAGAAGAGGAAGAGGGGATATGTCTCTGTCATGTGACCCTTCCTTTGAAATGGTGGGGGCCTGTTAAAACTAAACAAGGAAGTTAATGTGGCATTCTCTGAGTGGGCCCAGGGTCAGTTCTCAGAGCCAGAGAAGTTTAGAAGGGTATGTACTGGTATGTAGAAGAATTACCATTATATGAAGGAAGAGGGAGAACTGCTGCTGCCTTATGGAATATAAAGAACGGTTCCTGAGAGGAGCAGGGAATGTAAGACCTCTGTCTGAGCTGATTCTGATGAGAGTAGCTGGCACTGAGGGAAATGGAAATCTCCTGGCATAAGGTAGTGTTTTGAAATCTACACAGATTCAGAGCAGCTGTAGGGGAAACAGTGGGTTTCAGGCGCATCCTCTTGAGAACATTTTTCCTGTTTTCCCCTGGAAAGGAAGTTTTGTCTCGGCTAGTTCAATAGGCTTCACTATTGGAATTAAATTAACCCTTTGATCAAGGAATCTAAAATGGAAATAAATCTGCCTTCACATTTTTATAAACTTGAAGATGAAGGAATGGTAATGGTTGCTTTGAGGCTGTGTTGGGCTGGAAAACTGGAAAAGCTCTATCGAGTATAGTGGGAAGGAAAGCAAGGCATGAAGTAGGAGAAAGATTTTTCTAGTACCATACTAAATTAAAAAATTATTCTACATTTAGGTTCTAATGCTCTAACTCAAACAGGGGAGTAGCTTTTTCCTGCAACAGGTTTTCCTATAAATACAAAAGGAGCCTGTATTTTGAGAGCTTCAAATAAAAATAATAGTTCATAAGAACACTAGAACTAGCACAAGGCATCGGGGGAAGCAATGTAAAAGAAATTGAGTTTCTTTGTCGATGCTGAGAAGCCATGCTTCCACTTCCACTTCCAGATTAACTTGCCATGTTCAAGGTCAACAAATTCTTGTTGCAAGAGCAGATGATGAACCCCAAACCCTTCAAACTGTATGAAATCCTTCCTATCAATGCTATTGAAAGAATGAAGTTTAAATTGAAATAGCTGCTGCCTTGCTATTTCAACACAAGAGCAAATATACAGCCTACTTGGATGACCCTGTTTGGGAATGGTCTCAATTGTCTGGGGCATGAGGAGTTTTTAGATAAGTGTCAGACTGGTAGTTGGATTAAGTTCTGAAGAGTGCTTAACACAGAAGAATTGCATGGGATCCTGAGTGAGCAGAGCAGTGAAACTCACTTCTACCTATGGAAATTGGTTTCCTATGTAAACAGCAAATAGTTTTTGCCAAAGCCAGCACAGGCCATTCAAGCAGCTACTCAGCTGGGTCTCAGTTTTGCTGTTTGTATGTTTCTGTTAATAGACTGTGTACTACAGTACATTGCAGTGTACCACCGCACGGCTGCCTTAAACAGGCATCTGCTGAATAGCAGGACCATAGAGTAATAAAATCTATAGTCATTATTTTTCTGCTGATAAATGTACAGAAAATATCCCAGGTATGAATTTAAAATGAGTTTTCCAAAGCACACTTGGAAATCCAGAGCACTTTGAAGTGTTTCTGTGTAGAGGTCATTGTTTCCTTTTTGTCCCTTGATGTCCAAATAATGATGCTGCTGAAAACCACACTGTTATTTTCATTGTGAAGTCTAGCAAGGAGGGCTTTTTCTATTACAAAGTGAAATCAAAAGTGTGCAGAGAGCGAGAGCTGCTAATGGATTTTTGTGAGTTTTGCAACAGAGAGGGGATGTAGCAGAGTGAAATTCTGTGCTGCAGGAACCTGAACAGCTTTCCTAAGAGACTTCTGAAGTACGATTCCCTGATGAGATTGAAGCTGGACATGAGAAGCTTGAGTTCAAAGCCAAATTATGTCACTGATCTGTTTTGTCACCTCGTGTAATTTCCTCACTCTTTAAGGGACTGCTTTGTCCCTCCAGTCTTGTCACATAGCTGGGTTCACTGGCCTATTTTAGTGTTTATATACTACCTGCACTGTAATCAGGCAAGTTCACGTGAAACCCGGTTTGGTGTAGCACTACTCTGCCAGTTCCTGGCAGCTGTTTCAGATACCTTATTTAAATTTTATCTTTTGTTTTACATCTATGTTAAACATGCACCTAAAACTGCAAAGACAATAGAAGAAAGCTTTGCAAGTCAAACTGTTTTCTTTGCAGATGAGCACAAAGCATTTCTGTATAGCTTGACCAGGTCACATAAAGTTAGTTCAGCCAAAAATAGAGCCATGGTCTCCTGAACTCTGACACTAAGGCTGGTTGCTTCCTCTCTTGCTCTCTGTAATGAAAAACCATATTCAATGTGGTGTCATGTATCTGATGCTTCAGGCAGTGGAGTTTAATGAATATCATTGCTATTAAAGAACAGTCTCCATATAGGATACCACGCTTAGCTCATGCCTCCTGAGTGTGTTTGAAGAATTACACTGTTGTGAATTTTTCCTTTAGCTGTAGAGCACTCTGAGTTAGTCATGTAGAGGTCTCTTTTACCTTTGGGTTTTGCTTGTACTTGAGACACTTCTGACCTTCACCTTCCCACTGGATAAGGGATCTTATAAGCTGCCTTATGTTTTCAGGGTAGCTTCTCTGCTCATATTTATCATGGTCGCACCAAATCACAGCTGGCTTACTAAAGCATAGTGTGCAGTTGTTTCTTAGGTAATTACACTAATACTGTTGCTCATTAAAGTCAATGAGTGATACATGGGATGCATATGTGCTGTTGTCATACAAATATACAGTCAACTCCGTACTAGCAATAGGGAAGATGTGTTACTGAGCGTGGACAATGAATGGATGTATAGTTTTCGGATAATAAAGTGATATTTAAATTAAATTATTTCAGGTTGCTACTGCAAAATCAATCTGCAATGGCATGATGGAAGAAAACTATGCGGAAAAGAATTGTAAAAGGGCAACAGGGATTGAAAAAGCATCTCCAGAGATTTTAAACCTGAGACAGGGTGCAACATTCTATGGTGGTGTGGCAAAGCAAATAACAGCACTTACGTGCCTTTAACTACATATGATACCTTATGTAGGAATACTCATTCCAGCTTTACTCTGGTGAGTTCTGTCATAGGTAGCTACACATGTGTAGTTATTTGAGCTCTCAGTAGCATTGTACAGTATATGCTGAAGTCTGTAATTACTTCCTGGTAATTACAGCATGTGCCAGCTAGCAAAGGCTGATATGAATATTGCACTCCGTGCTGTAAGCTATCCTTTGAGTACTGGATGCACGTTCCTACATTTGGTAGTATCTAATGGATCATAGAGGAAAGACAGACAAAAATTGCCAGTGTATTTTCGTAACTGTCTGAAACTCTGCAACTTCTGACAGCAGCTGAGCAGCATGACATTGGGCATCTTTTGTGTCCCTAGGTTATTAAAGATGTAAGGAAAATAATGTTTTTTCCTCATATCTTATGCTGAATTTGTTATGCCTACTATTGTGAGTCTTGAGGACTCTGTAAACTGGTTTTGTGTTCACTTTATGATGCTTGAATATCTAATTCCAAAAATAGTCTTGTAGCTAAGGGTACTTTTATTGCATTTGATTACCTTGGTACATTCTACATTATGTCACATTGCTTGTTGTCAGGAGGTTGACAAAACCTAGTTTCAGGAGGAGAGACAGGTGAACCCAGGAATAATGTGATATCTGCTACTTTGTTTGGAGGGATAAAGTATTTTACAGCATCTGTGACATCTACTGATGATAAAATTGTTTATTGTGTATATCTGTCAGTGTCTCCAAAGCAGTTTTCAGTTAAGAGCGCAGTCTATCATTATGGATTGATTACTCTGTACAGTCTTTCTGTTCCTAGGCATGATTGGTGCAAGTTACTTTCTAGTCATTGTTACAAACAACCATAAAATTAGGAAATGACAATTAGGCTGTGCTGTAATACAGTCCTGTGTTCTGCATACGGAACTTGTAGCCCCCATGAGATACAGGTGTTTAAGTATGGATAGCCTGATTTTTCAGGATTCACTGTATACCATTGCGTTAAAGTAATTTAGTACTTCAGTGGTAGAAGGAAACATAAGGTAAAAATCACTGGTGCTGGTGAAAAATAGGCGAGCTAAACGAGGTAATATATTGTATATATTAGTGCTGGACCACAAGGAGGGAAGGTACTGTTGAGAATGCTCCAGGTAAGAAATGAGGCTCTCAAATATTATTGCTAAGATGGAATTGAGTAGGTTATCAGCTATAGCCAGATGCCCTAACATCTACAGAGCAGAAGAGAGAGGATTATTCATGAGTGTTTAATGGACACAGCAATTCAGCTGAACACTAATGTATTCCTTTCTTTTCAAGGTATCTACACTCCAGAACCACTCTGCAATTTCTGGTGGGCTCTTTTATCCACGGGGTTTATGTTTGTATATCATTTTAGCATCTTGCAGATTCTGGGCTTGGTAAGTAAATAAAGATTAATAAATGGATAGTTTGCAAGTACATTCAAAGCTTATGGCTAGTTTATATATGGATAAGTCTGCTTGCATGCAAGTTTTTAATTGCATGTTCTAATAAGCATTTGTATCATATATCACAGGTATCATTACAATATTTCATAAACTGGTTATGTACCTGCATAAATCCATCTATTAAATGAACAACTGAATTTGGATCTGCTTTCCTTCTGGAAGCTGCCCTGTTTGTGTTGAACAAAGGAGTGTCACCTAAACAGTTTTGATTATGATGGTAATTTCAAAATTACCATTTTAGGTGTCTGAATTGGTGCAGCACAAAAATAGTGTTAATTTCTAAATTTGTTGTCACTTTCTCAGGTTACAGAAGTGAATTTGAACAACATGTTGTGCCCAGCCGTCTCAGATCCTTTTTATGGGCGCTGGTATCGAATTTGGGCATCTGGACACCAGACTGTCATGACCATGACTCATGGGAAGCTTGTAATCCTACTGTTTTACAGTGCTGTCCCCATCTTTAAATGTAGCATGGACTTGCTTAGACTCCCAGCTAAGAAAATAGACTGAAATGTCTCCTCACGTAGTAGTACATACAGGAAGCAGATATACTTATACTGGAAAACAAAGAGGAGGGATGAGAGGACAATGGGTTTATATTTCTCCCCACAGTTTATTGCCTCAGAAACACCTCTATAACCAAGTGAGGTTTTTTTTAACTGCTGTTTCTCACTGCCTGTTGCCAGTGGCAAAATTAGTGGCCTTATTCTGGAAAAGGTTCATGTTTTATACATTTTGTGTAGATTACAGTAGAATCTTACTAAGCCACCGTTGAAAATGAGGCCAGGATCTGTCCACATTCCAGCAAAGACAGTGGCAGTGCTACCTCGTTTTGACTTACTTTCCATTAAATATAAGTACACTTATAGCATAGGAAATTAAGCACCACTCTAGTGATGTGAACAGAACACATGTTGATATGCATCATCTTGGCTTAACTCTTAGCACTTGGAAGTTGAAAAATGATCACAGTGGAACGGTGTACACTTGATCTCCCAGTCGTAAGTGCAAAACGGGGAGGTTCCCCTATATTTCTTTAAGCTGGTTGAAAATATTGGGGAACAATAACTCATTAAAAAAAAAAAAAGGCTTTTTGGTTGACTGTTGAATTTCTAAGCCGCTGTGGATGAATATCTGTCTGGCTGAGTCCCATCAGGTCTTGATGCTTTGGGGATGCTTTTATCTGAGTGAGTGGAAGAACACCATGTTGAAACAGTTTCAAAAGACCATGTTACGTATAAGATATGATGAGATATTTTATCCACTGTTCTGACCTGACTTTGAGCAAAATGTTGTTTTTTTCACTTAGCTTGTACAGGAGAAGGAGTGGAGATACAAAAACCAATGCTAACTTTAGAGTTTTCTTTTTTTTTTTTTTTACTCACTAGCTTTTGAAACATAAACATTCCTCCTCTGTGTTCTGCACTGATCCTCACTCAGTAGAGTGGTTAGTGAAGAAAAAATGAAACCATGTTCTCTCTCCACACCTCTAATACATTCTTTATACTGATTGCAGAATACACTCATAAAAAGGAACTCAAATCAGTGTAGGCCTCTACTGAGAAGAAAGTGTTCCAGTTTACTAGTATGACTGAATCTTCCTGTCAACATGTCTTTTGGAGAACAGGATGTAGATAGAACGATAAATAGTAAGGTGTGTGTACTTGTTCAAATTTTCCAATGCTAGAGAAGAAACTGTTGGGCAGAAGATGGGAAACCTTAAGTGTGTTTCTCCCGATGGTTAATTGTGAGCCTCTTAGGCAGACTGTTGTATTTCAGGGCTGCAGGAGTTTTGTTGTACAGAAGTTTGTTGCAATTTATAGATTCATTGTGTTGTCAAAGCTGTGACTTGTAAGATAAAACCATCATACCTCCTCCAGCTGGGTCACCTGAAGAGATGTTTGATATATTGTGAAGTTAAGGTACAGTCATTTATACCTCAAGAAGGAAAAGTAAGAATGAGAAGTGGTTGCCTTTTTTTTGTTGCTGTTGTTTTTTCCTTTCTCCTTAAATGTTTCATGGTGAGGGAACAAATGGCAACTTCAAATATTTTTACTCCATATGATTAAAGAAAAGGACGAATCAAAGATCTACTGTCCCACATTCTAACTTACAAACTAGTATCTGGCTTTCTTCCATGCCTTGCAGTGTATATATATACATCACAAATATACTGTACTCTCCCAACACGAGACCATGTGGCACATGCCCAGACTACCCATCAAACATGTATAGCTTGGCTTAGTTATACAGACTGTATGGTTCCTTGTGTTTTTAATCAGAATTCAGAAAGCAAATCACCTGAAAACAACTACCAGTATTCAGAGTTACCTGTCAGTTGTTGAGCTTTCAAATGTTTAAGTACATAATGAATTAAATTACATAGTAGTCCCACTGCTGCCTCAGTAAAGCGGGGCTTGTATTGCTTGTGGATTGGAGCCTGAAGGAGGAATCTGTTGGTACTGAAGGCCTGAATCTGTGGAGTTAGCTCTGACTGAGCTGCTGAAGTGATAGAAGTTCTTGCTGTTTATTTCAGCAGATTCAGTATTTCCTGATGAAATGCAGGGTGTTGCTGGGAGATGCTGAGATGCACAGTGCTGGATTTTAAAGCATGTCCCCAAAATACTTCATGAAATAGCTGAATGAAACCTACAGTGATTCTTCCCTCCCCATCGTTACTGTCAAGTGCATGATGGCTTATATATTTACTTAAGAATTTGGCAAAATGCCTTATGTTGGATGCAGTCCTGTTGGGAAGGAATGTTTTGGTATCACAGTAGAATGATTTTAGCCACATTTTGCAAATGGCATTTTTATTTGCTTTTATTTGCTTTTGTTTGTAAGAATTTTACCTTATTTTAAATATTTTCTTCAAAATGTTGTAGCTCCTGGAAAAAATTCCTGTGGAAAGTAGCAGCTTTTTTTTTTTTTTTTAAACTCAACATTTCCTCTCTATATTCATATGCTTCAGGGCATTCTAAACAATTATGAAACAGCTGCTGTTTACCACCACTGACTGCCTCTGGTCAATGAAGACTGCAGAAGCATTTAAATAAGCTCAGGTGTCTCGCTCATTGCAGGCTGGTTTGGAATGCAAAATATGAGCTCTTCTGACTGACTGACTGGAATTCAGTAGCAGGAACGGTAATGGAATACAGCTGACAGGAGGGAAATCACTGGGGCATTTTGGATGAAAGGATTCTTGGTGTAGTTGTACCACTTGTGCCATTTGACTTTGATAGCAGAGCCACTGTAAGTGGTTGTTCCTGCCTTCCTCCCACTCTGTACCACAGATGTCTCTTTCAGTCTCTGTGCTGTGCCACTTGCTTTTCTCCCTTATGCTGGTCCAGTTGTTTTGAGTCACACTAGAAACTTCAGGCATAATTTCACAGCATGGAGTGTGCTGACAAAACTGCTCATCAGAGCCGATGGGACACTTGCATTTCCACTCCAAACCATACCAGTGCATGTTCTGGAGCTTGTAAAATTCTTCTGTACTAATTTAAGTTGTTTAAATGCTTAACTGAACACGGTAATTCAGCAGAAAGCTAGAGAGATAAGCCAATTTCTACACTTAGCAAGAATTTTAGAAGTATTTGAGCTGCTATAAAAGGGTTGAATGGTGCAAGTGGAGTCAGGCAGGAGGGAAGGCAGTAGAACCTTCACCTCTTTGACAGTCAGCTGTTGCTTTTTTACTTGTACAGCATCAGTGAAGCTGGCTGAGTTAGAGCAGAATCATTTCAGTTGGAAAGGACCTTTATGAACATCGAGTTCAACCATAAACTTTACACTGCCAAGTCCATCACTGAGCCATGCCTCTACATGCCACATCTGCATCTGTTAAATTCCTCCAAGGATGGTGACCCAGCCATTTCAGTGGGCAGCCTGTTCCAATGCTTGACAACCATTTTGCTGAAGAAATTTTCCCTATTATCCAATCTAAGCCTCCCCTGGCATAACTTGAGGCCATTTCTTTTCGACCTGTGGCTTGTTACTTGGGAGAAGAGACTGACATCTACCTCATTACACCTGCTTTTCAAGTAGTTGTAGAGAGTAAGCTTCCTTTGCTCCAGGCTGAACAACCTGAGCTTCCTTTGCTCCAGGCTAAACAAACCCAGCTCCCCCGGCAGCTCCTCAGAAGGCTTGTGCTCCAGATCCTTCTCCAGCTTTATTGCTCTTCTTCACTCTAGCACCTCAATGTCTTTCCTGTAGTAAGAGGCCCAAAAGTGAAGTTATTCCCTCCCCTTCCTTGCCCCTTTTTGAATGTTTTTCAAACTTAGTATTTCATTTTAATTTATGATATGGTGCCACAAAAGATTGTATCAGCATAGCTGAAACACAGGCTTCACAGAGAGTGAAGAATGGGTCCGAATGGGAGCAGAAAGAGAATGAACTTCTGAAGCCAATGTCCTGGAACTTCACATCCTATATTCCTCAGCTGTCTCTGGTGTCTGTTTGGAATATGCATCAGACAGAATTTGTTCAACGTGCAGGATATTGGTTTGAATGGGAAAGTAGAATACTTCATCTCCAGAGGGGTTATTTATCCTGTTCCCTGGCAGAGGCTGATTTTCTTTTCCTAGAATGGTTTATTTTATATGGATGATCTCTTCGGTTGCTTTTATCCTTATGTATGCTGGAAATTAAAGAGCAAAACTCTACTGCTGTTGTTGAAAGCTAATTGGCATTCTCTCCTGGGGTATTCTGCACACTATCTATGTCAAGAAAACTTAAAGCTGTTGCCCAATATCTGATGATGAGATTTTTCCATAGCAGCAGTGCAGTGTACAATTGGAAGGGTCCTCCCTGGTCAAATGTTCCAAAATCTTTGGTCAGAGTGCTAACAATTATGACAACATGAGCAATAGCTATGGGGCAGAGCAGAAGGTGGACCACAGAGCCAGACAGACTGTTCCTTTCAGCAGGAGCTTAAGCTGACTATAAAACCTCACCACTAGCAACTCAGGCACTGCACCAGAACCAGTTCTTGTGTGGTGCTAATGCCTTGACTTCACACAGAAGTTGGTATGTGTCGAGGTGTCTAAACACAGCCCTCTACTCTCTTAAGTTTTGGTATTGTAGGCACCTCCTATTTAAGAACTAAGGAGTGATGAAATTACTCTTTCTGCCAGTGAACAACTGTTTCAGTTTGCCTCCAAAAGTACACGTAAATGAAGCATTATCAACTACAGTAAATTTGTTCACTGATGGGTTTATTTATGTAGCCTTACAGTAAGTAGCCCAGAAAAGTCAAATTTCTGCACCCACCATAACATCTGGCCATTCACCTATGAATGTTGAGGTTGTTGTGCCAAGGCTTTAGCTGTCCAGGATACATGTGGTGCTGTTCTTCAAGGATTCAGGCACTCTTTGCAGTGTTTGAGCTCCATCTGTTTATTTTACATTCTCCTATTTAAGCACCAAAGAAGAATTTGCATCTTGTTTCTTTCAAAGGGTTAAAATTAACAGCTCTTGAGCATGCTCGTATAAATCAATGAAAAGCCACAGTCTATAAACACAACTTGGTTTTGGTTCAGCTTCTTGGGGCTTGATACATGCTGCTTATAAGCAAAGGCTCCTTGTCCTTAAGCAGATGCTGCCTTGGAAGACAAGAAAAGTCACTCCATTTACATACCTTGAGATTCTAGAGTACCTCATTGTAGATTTATCCATCTGTTTCTGGCCACAATCAGGGTTTTGATATTTCTGTATATTTGATATCATTTTGTAAAGCCCAATGGTATTTTTCTTCCCGAAACGGCTATCTGCAACTGTTAAATTACTGTACTTTTATGTCTTAAGTCTTGCATATAAACCCAAGGCATCTGTTTTCTATGCATCTATAGCTGATGGAAAATCTGAATGTGCTGGTGTTCTCAGTGTTGCCGTTGTTCACTAGAGGTGGATTCTTAGGAATTATGTTAGTCCTGTTAGTTAACAAAGCTCTGAAAAGGCCAAAACCCAGGAAGAGGATGTATGTCAGCCCTGTTAGGAGGCAAAATGTTTCTGTGGGCAGACAAGTCAACTCCGATGTTTTCATTTTTACAGTGACAAGACTCATAACAAACCTGTTGATTTTTGTGATCTTGTACTTAAAGTGATATTGCTGTAAATCTGTCTCGCAGCTTTTAGTGTAACTTAGTCAAAGCCAAGCTGGTTTTTAAATGATTTTATTTTTCTTCAGGGCCAATTTTGTACTTTTTTTAACTTATTTCTGCATTTACTGAGTCATTCTCTCAATGCTGCAGAGGACGCAGCAGGCAGAACAGTGAGTATACCCACACCACTCTCACCAACCAGGCTGTGCTGGGGAGCGGGGCTCAGGCACTGCCCTGAAGCACAAAGCAGTCTTGAGAAGCTTGCAGTTCTAGTTCTGGAACTCTCTAGTTCAAACATGGCATTATCCAGGCACAGAATGGTATGGCAAGGGTGAGGATGGATGTGGAGAGGCTCAACTGCCACGTATGCTGTTAGTTCTGAATAATTTGTAAGAGTGTTATAAATTTTGTAAACTTTTTAATGTGCTAAAACTTGGTTATGAGGTAACATTTACAAATAAGGGGTAATTTGTGTACTTGGTTTTATATTTTGGTCTGACGGTATTTTTTGTTGTTGTGCCCCGAGCCCAGATTACTGGGCAAATAGTTGTTAAACCTTTGAATTAAAACAAATAAATGCATTTTAATGGATGCTGTATGGTTTTGTTATTCAGATCGTGCCAGGCATTGCGCCTGTCTTGCTTAAGACTTCTTGAAACTAGATAAGAAAGCCAAATTAACTTTGCACTTCAGTTTGTAATATTAACCGAGTCATGAAGGGATTTCATTATTAGATAGCTAATCATCAAATGAGGTAAGAATATGGATTCTCCTGTCTTAAGCAGTCTGTACTACTAAATGTAGCCTACCTTGTGCATAGCAGTTACTGTGTGAACAATGATTACCAGGATTCCTGGAAATTTTAAGCAATTAGGTATGACCCATGCCTTTTACCTGTCAATCCACACAAGCCAAGCCTGAGTTTACTGGCAGACCTCACTGCAGGACATTAATCCTTTAATCGCTGTTGAAATATTCCCTGTCCATGACTTCCAAGTAAAGAGCTCAGGAAACAGTATTACAGTATGATGATGCTTTCTTTATGCTTTCTCCACTGTTCTTCCCACAACCTTGGCAGTTTCCTTTAGTTCCTGTTCTATGTCACTTCAGTAGAAGATTGTAGCATGTACAGAACTCTTTAGCTCAAAGCTTTGTTCTGAAAGCCCTTATGATTAAGGTACTCACACAACCTCATACCATAGATGATGGCAAACTAATGTCATGCACTTCTGAAATTTTTCTGGCTGTAGTTTAAAAATACACTTAAATAGACTGCAATGATGTGACCTAGTAAATCTCAGTCAAGCAAGTTATTTTCTTGTGTAAGATTCCTGGCAAATACTGTTCCTGTAAAAAGAACATACTGGATGTGCTGCTTCTATTATACGTGCATTGTAAAAGTTTGACGTTCTTATGCAGCTGGGGATCAGAACCAATTCTCCAGCTTCATTTCTCTTGAGCAGTATAAAGACTGATACAACAGCTTAAGTAGAAATCTAGTGTGAAGTGCTTTATGGAAACCTGGGATGAACCAAGCAAGCAATTTCCTTTTTCAGGCACTGCTAATTGTCCTCTGCATCGCTCTATAGCTAATTGTAAGTCAGTCTTTCATTGTTTAATACCAACATGTATGTAAGAATAAGCAAGTTTCCACCCCTGAAACATCATTAATACTCAGTACTATTTTACTAGTTTGATTTTTATAGCATGATAATTACAGAGCTGGCTAAGGTAGCAATGAAGAGTAGGAAACTTTTGGTAGGAAATTTTAACTAGCGGTACATCTCAGTGGAATGGAGTTTTAGGTATGGTTTACCCAATTCAGACTAATGATACTGTCACAGATGAGTGTTTTAGGTCACTTGAAGAATCACTGTCAAAGGTATTAGCAAAAGCCGAGGGTTTGTCTGTGCAACCATGCCACCACTCCAGTGTAAGATGTATTCTTACATAAGTGAGCAGGTAGGTTTAATTGCAGAAATACTAGCCTGCATTGGCAGTTCCACTTGTCAGAGAGAATGTCATGGGCTGAATAGCACTTGTTGCTGGCCTGTATATTTGTTGGCAAAAAGTCCAATTTTAGGAATTTGAGGGGATAGAGATTTTCTTTTACAGTGTCAGTGCAGATGGCAAGTGAGGAGCAGTGGATGTTGTACTAGGCTCAGGAATGTCTATTTTCAATTTAAATGATAGTCCTATGTCCTTATGAGTCCAGAAGCAGGATACAAAACCACACTGAAGTAACGTAAAATTGTACCAATAGGCCAATCTTTCAGAGGTGCAGAGTTTTGTATCTTCAGTGTCTGATGTGATGTTTTGTACAGAATTCTCAGTTGCCATCTCATTGGTAGAGCCATTGATCACCCGACATCCTATTTTAATATCTTTCCGTGCCATTCTCCAAAGTCAGGGAATGTCATTTTTTGTCCCAGCTCCATTCATTTTCTAAGTGTACTTTGTTCTGTGCGTGACCATGGTGGAAAGATTCAAATGTCCTCTATTTGAGTATGTTCCCATACTTCTGGTGTACTTAACACAAGTTTGAGACCATGGCTCCTCCAGGGGTTTTTCAGTGAGACTTGAGTATTCGAAGTGGGGATTGCTGCTGTTGTGACAGGCTTAGTGATTCCGAGATATTGTTCCTAGTGTTGCATTGTGTCCCTTTACACCGTTCCATCTACATGATGTTTTAATGTCATAATGTCCCTTCACTATGGTCTGTATTGAGCAGTGACTTACTTTACAGCATCTTCTATATGGCATGTAAGAGTTACTGTGAATAGTCATGACATTTTATCTGTCCTTTATCAGTGGGTGGTTGGGTTTCACAAGTGTTTGTGTCTAATTTCCTGATTGACAATTGGAGACAGGTGGGCATCTGTGGGGAAGCAAGTGGTGCCTAAACCTTCAACAGCAGTAGGATGATGTGTTTTGCTTTCACCTTGGAAGCAGCTGCAAGATGAAAAGGTAAACCCAGCTGGATTTGGTGGGGTTTTCTGGACACATTACCCCATTAGAAAGAAGGAAAAATCCACTGTGCACTAATTCTGTGGTTTGCACCATTGTTACCAATAGCTTTCCAAGCGAGTGGGCCACCAGGTTTAGTTATCAAAGGCATAGTTCCAATTTGTGGTAAATTTATCATAACAGCTTTTCCTGGTTGTAATGCTATTGGAAGTTTCCTTTATTAACAGGCAGAGCATCAGGTTCACCTTTTGCAAAGTCCGTTTGGCGGAAGGGCTCCCAGTGGGCCCATCCTGATTATTCACTTGGTGAAGTACTTTGGAAAGTCGAGTATCCCATTGGGCCTTGCATGGCTTAAAGCTCTTCTTGAATAAGCCATTATCTCTTTTTACCATCCCATTTGACTGGAGGTAATAGGGGACATGGAATACCCACAGAATTTCTTCTTGTGCATTCTTGTACCTCCTTGCATGACAGATGTGAGCCATTATCACTTTGGATGGTTTCAGGACTAGGGAGGAGGTATTATTCTGTACCTTCCCGAGTAAAAGCAAATTTCTTTTTATCTTCCTCACAGGGACAATAAAGAACATACCCTTTACATCTAGCATGGCTATCCATGGGTATGCAGCTGCTTGTAGTGTGGCTGTTGGCATTGTGGTACTAGGTACTACAGCTGTTACTGGGGCTGGGTTGGCATTTGAGTGTCAGTAATCAATTGTTAGTCACCATCTCCCATCTGGTTTTCATACCATGGATCATATGGGGAGAGGGTTCTGGATATCATCTATCCTTTCTCCCAATCAGCTCTGATTTTGGAAATACCATTCTGTGCTGCAGCAGAACCCGGCTGTTGTGATACATTAGCAATCTTGGAATCAGGGACTGCAGGTCCTGCGTGGAGTACTGGGCACTGTAGCTGACTGATCTGTGTAAGGATTAGGGTTGACTTTTGAACTCAAGGGGCATATGCTGCCCTCCAGCAGGTGCCAGGCTCAAAACATCAAAACCCCAAATATTTTCATTGTGATCTTTAACTGCAAAGCCAGTAGACAACATGTGCTTCTCATGTGCTTCTCATGCCCATGAGCCACAGATTAACTAACTTTCGTGGTTTGGCAAGTAACACTTGCTCTATTCATTCCAGCGATTTCCACCTTTTGCCATCTGGGTCATACACCCAGCTTCTAGGTCTCCTGTTGCATTAGTACTGATATCTGTGCCCCCACATCAATTAGAAATGTCAGCAATTGTTGTTAAAGAGCAAGTGGAATCATACACCTAATCCCTCCTTGTGTTCTATATGTCTTGATTTCATCCCATTTTGAATTCAGTAGGGTTTAAGAATTGTCAGGGCTCCTCTAAGTAGGGGCGTTAGTTAGCACTGCATCATCAATTGCAGTTGATATTGGGTATTACTGGATTCTCATGTGTGCATGGCTGGCATGAAGGCAGCTTTTGTGATGGCTGTGGAGAGCTCTTGACTATGATGTCTCTATATAGTCATGAGAGTCAGCCTGGGGATTGTGCAGGGTTCACCTTGCTCCATGGTATCTTTTCTGCCAGCCCAATAAGCTATCCTGCTGGTGATAGGGTGGAATCCTTTTGCAGGGTCAGGTCCTAAATTTAAGACAACTCCTGGATCCCAAAAGCCAGTTGCGCCATCTCCACTCAGGCAGACTTACCACAAAACCTGTTCCAGTTTCAGCTGCTTCCAGTCTCCTGCCATGTTTTTACTGTCAGTTTGCTAGTTGTAGCAGATCCCAGGGAGTGACTCGTACAGTTTATCGCAGAGCACCACCCCGAGGTGCTTCAGATTGTTGTTTTACTGATGGGTCTGGCTTCATACTAGGGGGATCTGAGGGAAACAAAGAATCATCTTCCCCCAATTTACCCCTGTTGCAGTTACCCCATGTGTTTCCATCCAGTTCTTCAGGGGATACAATTGATTTTCTGATGTGTACAGTGTCTGTGGATGTGGATACCCACATAAGCATCATCTTGACCTTTTCTGCCATCTTTTTTCTCATTTTCTTCCTGTAACTGTTTATGCATCTGCTCTGTTTCCAGAGACACCAATAATGCAGCTGCCATTCTGCCTTCTGTTTCCTCTTGCAGATCTTGTTTCTCTCTACCATGCTTTTTTCCTGTCCTGATGGGTGGCTTATTGGCAGGTACCTAACATTTTGCAAGGGACTGCTTTTCCATCCTTTATATGGCCCCTGTTCTTCCACAGCTTTCCAATCATGCCACTTATCAAGAGCCCATTCTTCTGAGAAGCTGGGACTCAAACTCCCTCCCTGCTTTCACAAGTAATCGGTGATACCATTTGCCATCCTGCTGATTACACCCATCTGTGGCAAATGAGTGGTTTAAATGACTTTAAAAATCACCATCAAAGGGATTAGCAAAAGTGGGTTTAATATGAACTCATAAAACTGTTTAAAGTTTGATAGCAAGGTTCACTCTATTACTTACTTACATGGGTGAAACACACAAAGGAAAATCAAGTTAGAATCGAGCTGAGTGATTTACTCAGAGACCAAAGATACAAAAAGGTAAGGGAGGCTCTCCCACTGAGTCACGAGGTTCAGAGTGGATCCCCTTGCTTTCTAGCCTCCTGATGG